GTAAATTCAAGTGCAAAATGAAAACTTTGCATCGCACTAAATGCCGTTCAAGGGCTTCCTCAAATTAGGTGCAAAAATATTATATGGACAAGAACATACTTTCTAATAGAATAATTTTAAAATAAAAACAAAATATTTTCCTACAAAATACCAAGGACAACATTTCAAAATTTTTAATTTCATCCTCATTTCACAATCATTTACAAAGAACAAACTATAATCCATCCCCTGCAATTTGTTGTATCATACAAAATCTTGATTCCTTAAAGATGAACAGAAAGTATATTATCCTATAATTATTATAGGATTTTCCCCTTATTATTCACCCTATTAAAAAATTCAAGAAAAAAAATGTGCCTAAAATGGGGAAATCACACCACAGCAGCATTGATGATGGCGAAAAACACGTGACTTAGAAAAAATAAATCCTACAACAATTTTTTTCCCTTTTGGGAATGGTTTCTTCCCTGTTCTTTAAATAATAGATGTCTGTAGTTTGAATATTTAACTACGTAAATTATGAGATAGAGAAAGTTAGTAAACATTTATTACTCTCACAAAAGTCCGGCTCACGGAGAAGGTTGAATTTATTGCTTGCTATATATACACACATCACATATATCTTAAATATTATGCTTGGGCTCGTGAAGAACGTTTCTCGATGGACGGTACGTACGCATGCATGCAATAATATCGTCACCACTTACCCGTCTCGTGCGTTTCATTTGTTAGAGGTTGGCGGAACAATAATTTACATAGAGACACACATACATACATACATACATACATACATATATTTCACGTGTGTATATTATGAAACACCTTCGTTTAATTTAATCAACAAAATAGAATTTATGATAACCACGACTTTAGTTGACCATATGTTCAAATTAACTGTGGGGAATTAAATATTGAAACTGACTGGATTTTAAAACGGTGTAGTTTCGGGTTTAGTCACATCCACACTGAACTCTCTCCGCTCCCATCTCTAAATACAAGCTTTACATAAGCCCTTAAAGCAGTCATCCACATCTACTGGTAAAGCCACCTGTCAAAACACTAAAATACATACATATATATATATATATGCTGATATATTTCTTCCTCTACAAGATGCTATAATTCATATTGTACTCACATGCATATCCTCTTCTAGAAATTACTTTTGTTGCATTATAATTACTATACATCTATTATCTAATTAAAAAAAATTATAAATTTTCAATTTAAAAAATGTAAGAAAACTTATAAAATAATGGTAAACCACCAATACAAAATAATGCATCGAAAGATCCGCAAAGTTAAAATTAATATAAAAATCAAGTTATGTATTCATTTATCATAACATAATATTATAGTTAAGATATACAGTTTTATTCGAATCTACGATTTTATATAAAAAATATATATATTCACCGTTCAATCAAAATATTATTCATAAACTTAGAGTATTATTGACTTTTTTTTTCGATAAATTATTATGATTTCAGAACTATTTCAAAATTATTATTCTTCGAGGTGGGTTATTGAAAGAAGATTGATCGAAAACTAAGATGGATTTTTTTGA